TTTTCATCTATGAAAGGAGAAGTTGGATAAGACTGTCTAGGTTCTTTGCAGTTCTAAAACTCTGACAGCCTAAGGGAATTAAATTAACTAGATTCTTTGCTATGTCTTCTGTATTCCATAATATATGATGGTAGTAACAGGATTTTAAATAATTCTGATATATAGCAAATTAAGGAACTAGATGCTCTTTACGTTCAAGTTGTATAATTAATTCACTATCTTGATAAAAATGGTAGCTGAAAAATACACCATTGGCTATGGCTTTTGTGGAATGTTCCAGAAATATGCTAGATGACGTCCAACTAGATTAGAGTCAGTGTGGTGAACTGGAATGAGGCATGGCATTTGAATCAGAAATCAATTCTATCACTATTTCCTTTATACCAAGATATGCAGGACACAAAGCTGAGTGCTAAAAAATGAGCAGGATCCAGTCCTAAGGCGTAGCAACTGACAAAACACACATGCATATAGATAAAATACGAGGTGCCGTGGGTACTCAAAAGGGAGGACATGTCCTATCTGAACCTGAAAATTGTTTCATGGGGAATGTAGAACAGATGCCAGGAATCCGAGGAGGGAATGAATAGACAGAACAGTCATGATGCCACTTTAGCTGGCTTGGGAGCTTATAAGCTTTTTGACCTTGGGAAAGTCACATAAACTTAACCTCTCCCTACTGAAAAAAGTGAGGAAAGATAACCTGCTCTGCCTACTTCATAGGGTTGTTGATTAATGTCAGAGTGCTTGGAAAACTATGAAGGAGTATGATCCTATTATTATCGTTTTTAGGCCTACTTTTTTCAGTCTATTCAAATAAGAAATCTTTCCACAGTAAAGGCTATCTCTGACATAAAACAATTAGAACTTTATGTCTCAAGCTATACTTGCAGAATGTATTCTCAACTAAGCAATTTAGGGATGACGGTAGGACAAAGTGCTTTTCTGAAGGTTGACAATGAACCTACTAAGGCTCAGAGTTTCTTGTTTATTTTTATTTTACTGAACTGTTAGCAGCATTCAACATTATAGTCATATGAAACTAGGAAATGGGAAAATATGCTCTCATATCTCAAATCTCATCTTTCTACTAGTTAATTTCATTGAGAATTGTGTGTTTAAATACTTACTCTGATCTATGTGACTCAGGAATGATTACAGTATTATGAGTGTTTCACTGTTGCTATTAATAGAAAACATTTAAAGCATTATGATGTCTGAATTTTCAGAGGCTATAGGCAGGGGTACTAGTACCATCTTTCCCTCTTTTTTCCCCCCTTAGCATAAATGGCCTCTTTTATGACTTTATAATTGACGATTAACAACATTGAAAACTCTGTCCACTTGTGGATTTCTATAATATAGATAAATTTACTGTTTTTCTCACTTTACTTTTGCAGCACTGGGTTGGACCTTGTTAGTTCATTGTAATGGCGGCAGGAAGCAGATGAACCCTAAGTAGACAGGGATGGGTTCCCGGTGAAACCTGACCTTCAAGTCAAAGACAGTTTAAAGCCTAGCTACAAGTCCCGGGGTAAATCCATGGACTGGTTTGAAAACCTGTCTTCCTGTTTTGCGTGCTTTTCTCTGATTGAACCCAACCCTTCACATATTTTACATACACCTACCCTTTCCTAATTGGTTTTTTATACTGTTGTGCCCACCTCTAAGTGGTGCCTTTGTTTGAGCCTTTTTTTGCATACTCACAAACCAATCAGCACACACTTCCTATTCTGAGCCCATAAAAGCCCTGGACCTAGCCACATGGAGAGAAACCACCCAACGTTGGGTAGAGGACCACCCTTGCATCCCCTCTACACTGAAAGCTGTTTCACCATCAATAAATATTTTCTCCACCCTCCTCACCCTTCAATTGTCAGCACGATCTTGCTCTTGGATGCAGGACCAGAACTCAGGATCCACTGAACATGGGTACACCAAAGGCTGTAATGACTGTGGTCCTCTGCCCTCTGCTGGCAGAGGGTAGTGACTCCATGTGATGGGAAGCAGCAGCAAGGCTGAACCAGCCCTGGAGCCATGAGCCAGAGTGAGGCAAGGGGCTGACAGAGCTGTTAACACGCTGCTGTCCATTGGGCTGCAGACAGTAGGACTAAAAGAGCTAATCAGCATGCTGTAACATCCCCTCTGGGGCTTCAGGGTTGTGGGCACTGCTGCCTGGACACCACTGTGTTCATGATGCCAGTCTACCGCCGGAGTGGTTTGTAACACACCTGGTCCAGTTGCAAGCCCCGCATGGAGCCCAAGTCTGCTGGCACTCAGAACAGCTGGCTGGACCCTGCACTCACTTGCTCACATACCACCTCCCATTGGCAGCTGAGCACACACTCACAGCAGCCACAGGATCTGGGCTGGTGTGCAAACCAGGCATGGTCCAGTGGGCCGAGTGGATGGGGTGCCTCCTACGGCAGGCCCAGGGCTGAGTGAGGCTCTGGGTGGGAACGTTGCTGGCTGTGGAGGTCCCCAGCTGGCAGACTGACTGAGAGAGATCCTGCATCAATTCAAAGTCAGTTCTTGACCATCCTGGCCAACACAGTGAAACCCCATCTCTACTAAAAATACAAAAATTAGCTGAATGTGATGGTGGGCACCTATAGTCCCAGCTACTCAGAAGTTTGAGGAAGGAGAATCGCTTGAACCTGGGAGGCAGAGCTTGCAGTAAGCCAAGATCGTGCCACTGCACTCCAGCCTGGGCGACAGAGCGAGACTCCGTCTCCAAAAAAAAAAAAAAAAAGAAAAAGTCAATTCTTCAAAGACAAAGGATGTTCTGCTTAAGCAGGTCATCAGAGACAATTTAATTCAACCTCCAAATATTACAAAAGAGAAGCCCAAGGCTCAGCAAGCATGATTTTTCCAAAATAATGAAGATGTTGGTAGCAGAGCCAAGGTTTGACCCAAGGTCCCAATTCCTAACTCAGGTTCCTTGCAGAACACTACACTGCCACAGACCCATATTAACATGTGTGTCAAGTGACTTTAGTTACTACTTAAAATCTGTAAAATGATGTTAATGGGTCAGCCATGTATACACTTAACTATATCTACCACTTTGCTGGGTTAGCCATCTGAAAGCCCCTTTTTAAAGGCTACACAGCTTTCTTTACTTTTCCCATAGATATCGTCATTCCATGAACTTATTCTACTGAGCCTTTTAAACATGACTCCCTCATCATGCCCATTTTTTTATGTCTCAGGAATATCAGTTTAAGGTCATTGTACTCATCATGTTTTTACTTGATAAGACTCTGAATGTGAAGGTGGGGAATTCCCTTTTTTAGATACCCTATTATTTTTTTCTCTTAAACCTTAAAGAATCTATATTTTAATGCTTATAGAATTTGCTTCATTATATGTACACAACTTTATTGAGATAGAAAGTACTCCATTAAAATCATACTAACATGAAAGGGCATTTAGGTTCCACTAACAAACACTGATGAACTTAGAATAAAGAATTCTGAAGCTGGATGAGTGAGTGATTCACAGAAATATCAACCACATTTAGCTAGGGAAAAATTACCAAGATCGATAGGTTTTGAAAACATATTCATTTCTTCCTTCAATTAAAACAAACAAATCATGCAAGTAGAAAATTCAAATTGCTATTTTAGCAATGTTTTCCACTCTGTATGATTCTAAAAATTCCTAACGCTAAGCTGATAGAATTTTCCATAAGTTTGTAGATCAAAACTCATATCTCATTGACCGGTAACCTCATTCTTTAATCTTATTTTACAGATATTTTGTCATCTTGTGGGGGTTTTTTTGGGGGGTAGGGAGTATATAGCCACACAACTTACAAATACATATGTACATAAAATATAAATATGGAACTTTCAATTTTCATAGTCAGATTCGTAAGCCTTACCAGAAAAAAGTATGCTTCCTTATGCATCAGAGAAATAATGGATTATATTTCTGATGCTTAATGAAACTGCTTTAAGAAAAATGATATGAAAGTTCATAAATTTACAGAACAGATATAGGCATAAGGAAGTAAATTCTTTTAAATCAATCAAAGAATAAAGGATATACTAAAAGGTTGAAGTCGACAACCAAGGAAAGGACAGAAATCCTTTAGATTCTAAATTTACATTAAACTTGGAGGCCCCAGTTGATCAGACAGAGCTTTGGCAATGGAACCCACAGACAGACTGACTGACTCAGAGACAGTTAGACAACTGCCAACATGACTGTTGGGAGGGTTGCCAAAGAGCCAAAGGCTGGGATTACCATCCAATGCCTGGCATTCTGATATTCGTGTTTGAAGCTTTCTCTCTTATACTTCTTCCAATATTTTTGTTTGGCTCAAAAGTAGCAAGGATTCACAGATTTTTTTAGATCATTAAATGTTCTTATTTTCAAGAAATATAGCATTAGTTGTAAAAGAGCACACTTTTTCTCTGAAGTGTAAAGAAAATTTTGGTGAATTGCTTTACGCTCAAATAGAGAATTCAGTGTTAAAGTCTGTTTAAATCTTTATTTTATTACTCTTAACCCCTCAAGTAAGAAATATTAATACATATCATAATATAAAATAATTTAGTGTTTCATTGTATCCACTCTTATGGAACTGGTCCTTTATATAAAGCTACTTTCTTGATCTTCATATGGCCCCCAGGGTTCTACTTGGATAAATAAACCCCTGTGTGGGGCACCAATGACAATATAGTTTGGCTGTAAGGAGTGGTAGTTCCTCAACTATTTCCTTGACTTGTGAGGAAGGGAAAAGCATAGAACAACCTTCTGTGGGAAAAGAGACATGTGTTCCAGCTTCTTATGGCAAGGTCCACTTAATTTGCCTGCTGAGTTGCTGGCTAATGAGGTATGTGAGTTTTGGCCTACAACTTTAGGCAAATGCTACCATTAGGCAATTCATCAACTATTAGGCAAACTCCACATTCGGAATTCTTAGACTCTACACAGAGAAGTCTATTTTTTACCCAACTTAAAATTATGTATACCCTACTGGGGAAGCTTACCTTTGGGTCTCTAAGGAACAGAGCCTTAAGAATCAGTGAGTGTACATCCCCGATGAATGGGTAATGCATCAGAAGGCCGAGACAGGTCTGGTAGTTACTAGAGATCACTAAATAAGAGGAAAAAATAATTCAGATGCAATACTATTTAAGATACTCTGCATTGCTGAGAATATAAAAACTAACAACTCAGAGTCAATGAAAGCAAACCAATAACTCAACTGATTTGATAAAAGGAAGTAGAAAGAAGGGATCTTTACCAAATTGCCTTTGAAGGAACACATTTTATTGTTAACTGCAATCTAATGTATTAGCACTTATCCTCAGGGGGTGTTGGAAAGAAGAACTTCACATACAGATATGTGTACATCTGCAACATAAATTCTCAGAACCATTCATATTTATTGCCATTTACATGGCTGTGTTTAAATGTCTCCTGTTTTTCTACTTAGAAATTAGTAATAAAAGTCGTATGAATGGAAAATAACCAGTTTGAGATTTCCATGAAACAATATTTACCTTGATTATTATATATTATAACTTGTTACATTTTTTTCTTTTCTATGGGTAAATATTATATAATTCAAAACTAAAGAAAGTAGAATTTCTACTAATTATTTGTTTTTCTAAAGGTAACAAGAGATTTAGGGAGAGAATATCTAAGCAGCATTTCTTGGAGGAAAAGTGTCAAAATTGTCATAGGTTAAGTCTAAATGTGTTCTGTAGCTTGTCATTTAATTTTTTTTCAAATCAACCTAATTATGGGTGTAACTATGAAACACATCTTTTCAGGCAGGTGTATGTAAACTACTTTACTTCTTGGCAATCTTATCTGCCACTGCTGTCACAGTCAGGCCCATTTACAATGTTTGCTTTGTGAACCACACTGACTGCCTCCACAGCACTTATTGTGAAGAAACTTTACAGTTTTAACTTCTGTGGTTGCAACTGAAGCCTCTTCATGAATCAGTTACTTGAAAAATGTTCCATAAGAAAACAACTGTGATTCAATAGAAACAACACCAACAACTAGAAGTTATAATTAGAAATATCTTTGATTGTTAGATTATTTTTTCTTCTGCTGTTGGAATACTATTTCTTGCTATAATTTTCTACTGCTCCCCCTCCTATGAGCACTATGAGGAAAGGAGACAGGACTGGGCAAAATGAATAATTATAATCTATGTAAGGAACCACTTTATCATCTTCATTTCCATTGCTGCTATGACAGCTTGTAATTTCATACATCTGCTTTCATTTGTAAAGCACTCACTTATCCTACCCTTTCTGTATCTGTTCAGACTCTTATTTGTTCATTTTTTCATATTTACCTTCAGTTACCTGCTGTCCTTTTTTTCTCTAGAAATTCAAAAAGCTAAGATACTGAGAATAGCATAATGGCTTTATGTACAGATTTCTTTGAGATCCAGCAAGTAATTAAGACTTAATCAATTCACCTTATAACTCAAAAAGTAATTATACATTAGTAATTGACCAAGAAAGAATTCTTACATATTTTGTAAAGAGGCAGGAAAGTTTTGTGGAAAAGTTTTTGATCTCATGACATAGAGATGTAGGTTTGAATCCGGGGCTTTATTTGAACCTTTCATCAAGTTGCCTTAAGACTGATTTATAGCAGCTGTTTAAAACCAGTTCAGGTAACCTCTGTGAGCTTAAGTTTAGTCACTTGAAAAACAACTTTTTGATTGAAAACATTTATTTGACTGCTTCATTCAACCCAATAATTATTTGCTGAGTACCTCATTCACGACAGGCCCTATGCTAGGGGAGCACGTAGAGATAAACAAAACTGAGTCCTTACTCTGGAGAAAATTACAGCACAGAAGGGCAGATGTGTAATACCAAGCGGCTATTACTACTAACACGACTAAGATAACAGTGAATTATTAAAGCTTTCTGTAGCCAGGCCACATGCTAAGAACTTTACCTACATTATCTCAATTAATTTTTATGACATTCTTATAGAGGTACAATTATTATTTTCGTTTTACAGATGCAAATATTGATACTTGGAGAAGTTAAGTCACTTGCACAAGTTACCAGTGATTCCCTAGAAGGGCAAGATTGGAAACTCAAAAGTCTAGCTGCAGAGTCTGTACTCTATTACAAGACATTTGTTTTGAAAGGCCATTGTTTCGAAAATCAAGAGACATCATGGATGCATACTATAAAGTATTACTACTATTCTAGTGAAGCAGTTTTAACTATACTAGAAGATCAGCATAACCCAGTCTCCAGAAAAGCTTGATTGACTGATTAATCATTTATTTATTTATTTACTATGTTTTTTTAAGAGACAGGGTCTTGCTCTGTCACCCAGGCTAGAGTGCAGTGGCATGATCACAGCTCACTGCAGTCTCAAACTCCTGGACTCATGCAATCCTCCTGCCCCAAGCTAGGATGGACTACAGAAGCATACTGCCATGCCTGGCTAGTTTTTAAGTTTTTTGAAGAGACAAGCTCTTGCTATGTTGTCAGACTGGTCTTGAACTCCTATAGAACAGACTGATTTAGATATAAATATATAGATAGAGACTAGAGCAATAATCCTGTTATTATTATAAGTTGTTAAAACTTTTCAAGCTATCAGAAGCTATAAAATATATAAAGGAAGCCAAATAATGTATTAAAATTCTACTTGAGGAACAAATGAAGAAGCTAACATTCTTTTATATTTCTATTCATCCATCCAATCACTGCATGCAATGAACATTTCCCGAGCATCTACTAAATGCCAGATATCCAGAGGCTATGCTAGGCACTGGCACTAGGAATATAACAGCTAATAAGCTAAGTTCACTGCTTTCAGATAACGGTATCTCTAATTTGCTAATGAAAATCCACACTTTTAGAAATACCCTTAATTTGCAAATAGATATGCTAAGTATTAAATCTCCTTTCGAATAACTACAGCAAGTTTAAAGTAGGTAGAAGAGAATTACGCAAGCTGGTTTAAAAACAAACTAGCAAGGATCTGACACAATAAGAATTTAGTTTTGAACTTCACAGTAAACTTTTATTGAAAATGAAAAACTAATCTGTAATACTGTTCTTTCCCCAATATTTATTCTATCAGAGCAGGGCAGAGACATGAGGTAACAAGTGAAAGATTAAGAAAAATTATTGAGTTTTGGCATCTACCTACATTTGAAATGAAGTATGTTTATGCTTTAAAAACAAAATAGTGAAGGCACATTCTAAAGAGTTGATTTAGGGAAGGTAAAAGCAAAGGTAAGTGGTACCTAAGAAAAGTTAATGGATTTGGAATGAGAACTAGATTAGACAGCCTAGTCACTTATTATATGGTGAATTTAGGCAAGCTGCCCAACTTCATTGAAACTTTATTTCTCTCATTTATAAAATGAGACAATACTGCTTACTCTATCTACAGGCTTTCTGTAAGAGTGGGCCAGCTGCTACGTGGTACGTTTCCCTATCTTGCTCAATTCATCCTTGATGAATAGTATTACCTCCACATGAGGCAGAGCTGACTTCTCTGAATCTTTATGCACCCCACAACTATTCTGGAGTGGTCTGAAGAGATGATTTAGTTTCTCCAGCAGGTACAAATAAACCAAAAAGTGAAATCAGTAATGATATGCAGAAAAAGTAACTGTTTTGAGAAAGTTTAAAGCAATGTGGATCAATAACTTACACATAATTCAAAATTAACCACACTTACAACTGTAATGTTTGTAAATACATGCAATACTTTTTCAAATTATTCAAGTTCATATTGAGATATACTTTCTTTGTCAATATAATAAAACAGACTGAAAACTACCACAAAACACGAAACTCTATAGACTTCCTTTAATTTCTCGCCCGACCCCCCCCAAAATATCTATCACTTATCGAGTACCTATAATATGCCTGAAAACTAGTCATACATTTTATAAAGGTCTCATGAGTCCTCCTAATTCCCCCTAAGGAAAGCATTATCACTGACTGTTATAGATGAGGTAGTGCAGAGTAGGTAACAACACAGCCAACGCCACAGAGCTACTGAAAGGCAAAGACAGGGCCGAACCTGGGTCTGTGTAGACTGAAAGCCTCACCCCCTACTCTTATACTTTCCTACATTCTTAGCAAGTGCATGACAGGGGTATCGGTATAAACTGAAAAAAGTCCTCGGTGTCAAAGGCCAAGAATAGCAAATATTTAGAAATAGGCATACATTCTTGTATTTACCTATAAAATGGCATATAAAAACAAATAATCATAGATTAATTATAAAATAAAATGAGCTAACAAAAAAGAAAACCTTTCTTTTAAAAAAGGAAAAGGTTTTTCTCATAGTTAATTGTACTTGACTGAAAACAAAGTCAATGTGTAATGAAAGTGCCTTGCCAGGCACCCAGCATAGAGAAAGCATTCAATAATGCAATGCTCTCTGAAAAAAAATATTTGTTGAGGGCCTACTACATGCAAGAAAGAACACATAATTACTGCCTGCATAATCTTCACCTATTTAAAGCCCCTTACTATTCTGACTTTCCTAAGTACAAATGGCAAGAAACAAAATGGGATTGCCAATGGACCAGAAAACAAGTGGTCAGAGGGAGGCTGGGGTATAAAACATAAATAGAAACAAAAAAAATTTTACTCTCTTCAGTTTTGGAGAAAGCCAAATATAAAACACAATCATATCCTCCACAAAAAGTGGTTTTAGTCTAGTGTTTAAAACCCTTGTAAAATTTTCTCCTTCTGGGTTTTCTTCCTCAGTTGGCTTTGTGACAACTGCCTCTTTGAGCACCATTCAATCACTACAACCACCATCCTTGAAACCGAAGACCAACACATACTCTTATGTAAACACTTGGATACTCTTTGTAAGTCTTTATTACTCTAGCAGATTTTGTGCGGAATAATATGAGAGTTTTAATTTCATTTTTAGGAAAGAGGACAATCTCAAATTCAGAGCAGCTCACTCTTTGGGCTTGGAAAAAAGACTTAAAAAATTGTTACTTTTCCCGCTTAATACACTTTAAACAGAATCTCATTTAATAAGAGATCAAGCAATAACATAAGAGATCTTTACTCAATAATTTCTATGTTTAAATATATAGTGCTGCCAACTGGAAGCCAG